TCCATTTTCAGCTCTATGATAGCGGAGCGCAGAAAATTGTTGTCACGTAGTGGCTGTGGTGGCCAAATGTTCAGGCGGCGAGTGGCGAAACGACGTAGAGTAGATATAGCGCATGAGAACTATGTATCTACGCAAGTCAGTCGTAAAGTCGGCGGCTTGGAAATATAGACTGCCACGCTAATGGCGCACCGGTAAAGGTCAGGAGTCGTGCAGTCATCACTACTAACTCTAGGCATGCGCAACCCAAAAGATCAACGCCTAGCTAACCTGAAATCAGGTTACACTGCACAGAGCCTAGGGTTCAGTACAAGTAGGAGGTCGCGCGGGAGGGGCATGTGTACAGCGTTCGATGCGTTGTGTGTGCAGCTACCCTCGACATGGAAATGACTTACCACAGCCGTGCTTCACATGGGTAAAGTTATCCCGTCGAGGACCTACCAGTACACACCGGAGTGGAGTGACGAACCACCGGCAACCGACAAGGGCGTGCTTTGGGCGTGCATCTGCGAAATTTTGGTTTGCAACCAACAATTTATTCTGATATTTTTGCCCAATAAATAGCCACAATCCCAAAAGTCGCTGTAAACGACCATAAGGAGGTCGTCCAGAGCGGTTTTTGCAAAAGTCGATGGAAACGATTTTGATTGGCTACTTTTCCAAAAACCGCTGACACAAAAGTCGTTATTTACTGGACCATCTCACTTGCAAAGTGGACGAGACCAACATGCAGCGCGATCGATTGAACGTCGCGTTCCCATCATGTTGAATCTTGTTACGCTACGTCGTAAGAGTCCAAGTATGAGGCAACGACGTCAATTTCAATGCCATAAACTTGGACAAGCACAACACATCTCCAACGCTTGCACATTTGAAATGGGCAAGCAAGTTGAATAAGATAAAAAAGTGTAAGCGGTATACTATTAGTATGATGATAATACAGTACTGACTGTGAAGTAAACAGTCAAGTTGTCAGTGAGGTACTCATCAAATACTTATACTTCAAATATTCAATTCTGCTAGTGCAAGTGATTGTGTGCACTCTAATGCAAGAGTTTTGATTGGTTATAATCAATGTTGAAATGAGAGAGTTCAAAAGGTACCTCACACAAAAGGCAGCTCTTTGCATTTACCATTTCGATTCCAAGCCACGAAACGAAGATGGTAGTGTTGACGTGCATGGTTGTTGGGTCGTGGAAACCAATTTACGTGGAAATCCACGACAACCCTCCAGTGTTGCGACTTCAAGAGCTATTGAAGAGCCAACTCTACCTTGCCTGCCCAACGCACGAGCTCAAGCTCTATGTTGCAAAGACGACGACCGCCGAATGGTTGGCGCCCAATGGAGTTATTATTACGGCAACATATTCGACACCAAATCAAACCAGGGAATGACACGTATGTATGGCCTTGTGCAAACGTCCTTTGGATGGACAGACGTCGACCAACCAGGTTCCTTGCAGCGCCAGTGTGACCTGTTGATGGAATTCATGCCTCGATGATGATGAACTGGTCGAGAAACACATGACCACCATCTACCTAGGACCAACTTCATAAGACGATACATATACCCCTCCCGTTGAAGCGACGTTGACCCTGAGTTTCCCTTGTCCTAGTGACGATTCGATCCAAAACACGATGGATCGACGGCAACAGAGGTCGAACGCGCGTTGATTTGCCTTAGGGAGATCCGCGCTTCCCTCCTCGTTGTGTGGGAGTCGTGGATACTGCACACAACGAGGGACGAAGCGCGGATCAAACACAGTTAGTACGACGGAGCGACCTGTGGAGGTGGTGGGAACTCAAGGTACGTACTGGTGGGCCGCACGGTCAGTTTCACAGCGATGGGGTGGACTGTGGTGCTGCGCATGGACATCCGACGGCTTGGTTGCATGATGCACTCACAATGGGCCACCTCGATTTGTTTCAAAATTGCCCTCTCTCATTGATTCGTCAGTCAATAATGTTTACAACCAATGATACGACGCCACACTTTGACACTTCACGTTTGTGACATTCTTGTGTGACCAATTGTTATTGATAATCTTATATTTAAATAAAATTGCAAACCATTTTTACTGCTCCGAGTATTACTGTATTATAATAGGACTACAGAGCGGTGACCAAATATACCTCTTGAATATGATAATGGTATACAATTATGAGGTTTATATCCCACGTGATCCATTTTTGCGACTGATTTATTGGACTGTGAATCATGATGGCATCATTAGCGGTACGCAATGTGCCCACACTGCACGTCACAGATCGCATTTCTCATTGCACAGACCTTAGGCGTTAGGTTTTAATACGTATTAGCTCGAAAACGGGTTGCTATAGTTCAGTCTCATTTCCAGTGAAGTACTTGTTCTAGAGTAACCTTCCATGACAACTTTAATGGAATCTGCCAACCAAGTGACAACTGCCAGTCGCACCATCCATGCCCATGCGAGAAAAGTGCTTGCGGTACTGCCAAAAATTCGAATACATCCTACTGTATATCCATTGTTCACATTGCCTCAGTGTCGAATGCGTCACATTAAAGGCACACCTCCTAAGCCGACTGTAGGTTTTTGTGGCGCAAAGCCCTACACATGCAATGTTAGAACCAGCGTAAGAGCCTTTGGGGCTGCTAAAACTTAGGTTGCATCATCGGAATTGCGTTCACCATTTTTTAAGTTGGCAATATCAACCGGTTAAATCCGTATAACAAATGTTAACCGGATTACGGATAACTGTCCTACCAATGAGTATATATATATATATACCAGGTATCATTGGAAGGTACTTACAGTTAAACTAGCACCCAAAATACCGTGGGAACTCCCTAGATAAGGCGACGGGACATGCAAATAATCCTCTCAAAAATATAATCAAAATAACACCTGTAACCTGGCCTTGCGTGGGCACATACTTTGAAGTAATAATGCTTTTATTCCCAGCACAAACTGTACGTACAGTAGCAGTACAGTACTATAGTAAAACTACTTTAACCTCACTGATAGTTTCTGGTTCTGCCCGTGGACATTGGGCCACATATGTACATCCACTGTACGTAATGTAAACTGTACTCACGAGTACTGTATTGTAGTAGGGGACTTCGTTCAAGTGTCGGATTTTGTTAATCTGCATGTTGTCTTCCTGTCATTCAAGTTGGTGCTTTCATGACGAGGCAACCCCCATATTCACATGCCAACTACGCACTGCGCACAGACACAAGGCGAACTCCCATGGCTACGCACACGCCAACACTGAACGCGACCAGCAGCCACGTCGACGTCATCGCGACAGAGTCCAGGAGCTCATGCGGGGGTTGGTCGTGGTCCCTGGCTAAAGGAATCTCCATCCGCTCAATCTCCGAGTCATCCACGGCCTGGCTTTGAATCTATACAAGACACGGGGGCTTAGCCAGTTCCAAAACAAGAAAACACTCAGCATACTGTACACGAGATACAAAACACTGTACGTAAAGTAGAGTGTACAGTAGTACTGTACTGTACAGTAAGATGTGTAGTAAACCAACTAACGTCGATGAAAAAACTGTACGTAAAGTAATTGTAGGATATATGTGTGTACCAATGATTCAATGCGGTGAACGGTCACTGGATGAAACGAATGGGCTTCAGAGCATTGTAGCCACACATCTAACGCCACGACCGCGCCATGTTGTCGTTGAATCTACGCATGATGTATTATTATGATTTCAATATATATATATATACATAGTTTCCCCAAACCAACAATACTCTATATATTTCCATCTCTTCATCATATATATAGGGTATGCACGTAAAACGAGGACATATACTAGTAGTGGATATTGTTGTGTTTATATATTCTAAACTGGAGCGGCGATATGGAGAATGAATGAATTGGCACACAACCAAATACATGTACAGAAGAATATTGAACCAATCACCTTGCAGGAAACCATTATCAACGTTAAATTAATGTATGACTTGAATTAGTGTGATACCAAGCACCACAGCACATACGAAATTCAGTCTAAAGAATCGATCGATAGAGTTTGCGAAAATCAGCACAAAAGTCCAAATTTTTGGGAAAAAAAAGGAATATATATATTTATTCTCAAAATGAAAATAATAGTAAGCGTACGTACGTGTTCGAAGGCAGAGCACAACTCGAGTGTGTCAGAAATACCAAGCAGACCGGGGACGTCCAACGACTGCTGACTTTGCGTGTCGTCCACCAATAAAGATACTGGGAGTGGCGATGGTACCACGTGGCCCACGAGCCCCTTGAGCTCACTGTCGCTTGGGATATAGCCTACGAATATACAACCAGTGCGTTTAAAATATGGGGATTTCTATATATCTATTATGTATGAGCAGTAGTTACATACAGGAATCATACAACAACAACAGCAACTAACGGAACTATTATATATACAGTAAGAGGATTGCACTTTAAAGAGAAGATTATACTGTATTGGATCATAAGGCGGATATTGGATCTATATGTATGTATGATGAATGTAGACGTTTGAAATGCTACTGTATGGATTCAAAACATGATGTTGTTATATCTTCTTCCGGTACATACTTTTAAGATATATATATTTGTCCATATTTATACGATAGCGACATGCATTTGTATGACGATGTGATACTGAAACGAAGAATAAAACTACATACTGTATGTAGGCATGTATCTCCCATATCATTGCATGCAATTCTATATATATATATCTTAATTATATATGTATATAAATATATATATATATATAATTAAGATATCAAAACAATTGCAGAGGGATTTCTATCTAAAAGAAATATAGGGGGACGCACCTGGCACATGTAGCCACGAGTCCCACGCCACGGGCAACGGCGGCAAGTCTTCTACGAGGGTGAAATACTCGTGGCAGAATGCGCAAAATTCATCTGTCGTGACGCTGCCTTGTTCAAAGCCTATGCAAGAATAATATGGGGAAATGTTTTTATATATATATATTGGATGCATGTGATTTCAAATATTATACTTTTGACTTTATTACCTGAAACGAATGCCGATGCAAAGTACTGAAACGCTTCGTCTCCTACGATCGTTTGCAGATTCCTAAGGAACAAATAGCCCTTTTCCCGACCCACAACACTCCACTGATGGCTCGAATGATGGGATGCCACCTATAAAATCGTAAAACTATCACATTCAGTACATAAAACTTAGCAAACCATATATGCCAAACCAAATACTTCGTACATTATAAGCTCCTATAGTCCATTCAACTACAGGGGTATATTGAAAGACAACAGGTTTTAGTTATTACCAAGGCGGTATCGGCGTCGAGCTCCAGTGCCCGTCGCAACGCCACTAGCCTATATCATAGATCGCTCAATATACTAACTACTATTATGCTTATAACTTTATACATGAAACTGTACACGTTGATAAGTGAAACATCGTCCAGGAAGATATATAATATATATATATTTATAAAAATACACACCCGTCGTGTACGATTGGGGCCACAGATGGAGGGTGTACTGTGTTCAACACTTCGAGTTGTAGCCACTTGGCCCATCCTTCGCTGAGCCTACGAATCCCAAATATCAAATGTATAATTATTATACAAATCAATATATATTTCACGGAATTGCCAAAAATATTATCACGTACCATACGTCGGTCCACGTTTCGTGAGGTGCCCGGAAGGCTGTCCAATGGCGCACCACTGAGTCGGCTAGTATATCTATTTCTGTAACAATATAAAAGAGTTAATAATCTAAAACTATGCTCATTTCACCAAGAAAATCTATTATCTATTCACTGGATAGTCAAGCATGGGAACGCAGGCGTTGCAAGACGATATATATTATCGTGTATATCACCTGCAGGTCGGTTAAAAGCGTTTAACCCATCAAATGGTATACATCGTGTAATCCATTCATATGTAGACTTATAAAATTATTATTATCAATCACCCAAGTCCATTTGAACAGTCGAGGGAAAATTTAAAAGATAAAAATAACATCAATTTCATCATGGTGACATTCACGTCGTCCATATGGCAGTTGTTTTTTCGTTTTATACAGTAAATCATCGATTTTGGATAGGTCACACGAATCACTCGTTCGAGTATAAACCGTCCATATTCCGCCATAACAAAAGATATGATTTATGACTAATATGACTAAAATATGACAAAATTGTACGTACTTTGCGCGGCTGCTTCGTCCACCACCACGAGCGACGGCGTTGCCATCGACCGAAACGACAGGGTTAACGCAGTTGGCACCACCAGAACGTGCAAGGGAGGCCACACCCACGGCAGCCCCGTCGTCCGCTCGGCGGCAGCCACCAGATCCGGCACAAGGGCCAACGCATTACTGGTACTACTAGGAATACTAGCAGCATGCACAGTGCAGGCCGACGCCACGTGCTGCGTGCTACATACAGTATGTACAGGAATGAAACCTACTAGATATACTATCGAGCGTTGAATACTACTACTAGTAGTAGTACGTTATAAGAGTGGTTGTCGCCGGGCAAATCACGAGCGCGAGCAAATGAGACGGTACCGCCACCGGTTGGTTAAACGTGACGACTTGAGATTTCGATTTGGGCACTTGGATGGATTCTACATCAAGATCGTCATCCCTTATTGATGATACCAAGGATAAGAAAACACATTAGTTTCCAAACTATTATATATATATATATATATATGTAGTGCTGTCTATCCAATGATATAACGAAGCCAGCTTTCGAAGGGACTTGTAACTTTAGTGTAATATAGTACTGAGTTTATTCAACAATGGATCGACAATGGAGAATGATTTGAATCGACACAACACCAAAGAAGTGTACAGAAGAATCGGCCAAAGTAGTATTGAGCCAATCAGATTGCAGGAAATCCCTATCACCATCGAATTTTCGAGTGAATTGTGTGGTTATATTCATTACCACCCGACACCTTTTTACATTCAAAACCACTTTAGTATATTGTCAAATCGATTCGAAACTGGAGCCGTCAAAAGCAGCAAAATCGAATGTCTGAAGAGAATAGATGAAAAAGAACCGCCTTAGCCAATCAAATCACGTTCTGGTAAATATTTCTGCCAATCCAAACGTTTGACTCGGCCGCAAAACCATATATATATATCCTAATCTTGGTATTATATAGTTTGTATACAAACTTAAAATTGGATCATATATGGATCCAATGGATTACTAGTATTCGACAGCTACGAGGCGAAATGACTCACAAGTCCAAATAATATTTGTGTGAAATGAATACGAGTCCAAAGAATCAATCAATCGATCGATTTGGCACATTTTTGGGGTAAAAGGATTGCAATACCTGTCAACGACGCACTCATCAACACTGTAGCCAGCGCGGACGTGGTGACATGCGCTGTGTACGTAAACTTCATGCACAGTTGCGGAGGCACGGGCAGTAAGCTAGGCGCGTACGAAGGATAGGACTGGGTGATGAGCCATGAAGAGTCCAGCCAGTGGCATGCCAGGCTAGGCTTGGCCAGGTGATACGTCACTGCCACGCTACATACAGATCCAGGGTAAACATCGTGTTCATCAAGAAACAAGTGAACGTACCTGTATGGCGCGACGACTTGCTTGGGCACGGCGATGGCGAGCGTGGAATGCAATTGGTCGCTCGTTGGCGACATCTCGATCACTTTAAACTCGGTGGCGTCGTTGTTCACGGCCACAGACTCAATCGAGAGCCCTTCCACGGCCAGCGCGAGGCAACCCTCGTCCGTGCTGGATGGAGTTTGGAGCACGGTGTACGTGGCCGTTGCGTGCAGGCGGCGGGTAGCGACGTCGACGGACACTTTCCAGTGGAGATGCTGGAACGAGCCTTCGGGCAGCGGGGTGGGCAAGCCCATAAGTGCACGAACCATGGCGATACAGTACTGTATGCAGGTTGGAAGTTTCGATGTCTCACGGGTTGTAACTGACTCGACCGCCTTTCATTGGTCCAAACTTTTGAAACCAAGAGTATAAGCACCGCACGTGTCAGCATCCGCATAAAATATCCGAACGCCATTGTAATAACAACAAGTGAACTCGCTACTATGGTTAGTATAAACTTCTGCAATTCGCGTGGTTTTGTAATCAATATTGAATAGTTCTGATTGGTTGAATTAACTTATGCTTTCAGTATGAGCCAATCAAATCCACTCAAAATTGGGTTAGCCAATAGCGTCGATTGGATCTGACGGTCTGGAAATTTGTCCCGAATACACAATACAATTAACAGTAAATGCAATTACTACTGTTATAACGTTATTAGTACTATTAATACGTAGTACCAGTGGCGAATAACTTGCGAACAATTCCTATGCGTTCACTAGTATCACGTTAATTCACTCTTAGTTCAGTACCAGTATACTCATAGTACTCGGAGTACTTCGAAGTATTATTATGTGTCGGACGAAATATACTGGAAATATCCTGAACTTAAACGAAAAATGGTGTAGTAACGTACTATTAATAGCAGTACGTATTAATATTAAGTACTAACGTTACTATTAATACGTAGTACTTACTATAAATACTGGATTAATAGTATTAGACGAGTGCGATGTGCGATTCCAACCAAAGTCGCCTGTCTGACAATCGTAAAGTCGATTATCACTAGTACGATGACAACGACCAAAGCAATTGGGGGCTGCTCCATTTATATTCACGGGTCAAGGCTGCTTGGTAAAGTTACAGCCACGCGTGGTTGTAGTTTTGGTGCAACGTCAGCGCGCCACGTACATATGTATTTAAGTCCGTCGAACCGCTCGTCTCGGCTCATGGTGGTGGTGCCAACAAGGTTAAACATGCTGAGTCAACCCGAGTTCGTCTTTGTGGCCACGCGTCTTTGTGTTATTCATTTCCATGGAGACCATCTCGGTTCCGTTCGAAAGGATACATCGCAGGATTTCCTGACTCTTCAACATTCAGCCCCCTCGCTACCCCTGGTCGGATTTCGGCTACAGTGTCGTGGGTTACTTTCGTCCACTCTTTTCACTAGCTGTGGGGGGGTGGGGGGCTTGAGGAGGGAGGGACATTGCGCTATGTACCATCCCACGTGTGTGGTGTTGTGACGATTTTTTGTTCAATTCCCTCATTAAAACTGTTCCACTGTTGTTTTGACCCGAAATACTGTTTCAATGAGATTTATAAGGAAGTTTGTATGCTCAGACCACCTCACCTCTTGCTAGGGGATAAGTGTATCTCAGTGGTTAGCGACAGCTAAACACTAGCGATGCAGTTAACCCCGGAGATTTAGCATCGTATGTACTCACCGGGGTTGGACGGAGTCCCAGGTTACAGGGCTACTGTACTGGCGAAAAGGTGTATCCGGATGTAATACTACCCTCATTGAAACAGTATTTCGGGTCAAAACAACAGTGGAACTGTTTTAACGAGGGAATTATTCCGATTTTTTATCGAAATGATAAACGTACAGCATCGCTGCTACTAAACGTGCAATATAGCTGACCAGTAGACACTATTTGTCGTGTTTCTTTGACGACACTTGACTACACAACGTTCACGTTACCGGAATGTAGTGTAGTACTTTGGTTATGCCAAGGAGTGAACTACCAATGAATGTGTGGTATTGTTCGACGTGGTAAATGCATTGGGGGCGTCAAGAACCTGAGCTCGAGCGCATATCTGGTCGAGACGACCAAGGAGCAATTGGCAATTCCTTATCCCAGATAATTCTATTGATCTGCATGCGCGATTACACCTGTAGCCGCGGCGAAGATTCCGCCAATCTCAGCACACGACGAAATAATCACACAAAGGCCAAGTGTTGAACACTCGACTTTGGATCAGTTACTATACTCGTAAAGTACATGCATAAATAGTGGGTCGACAAGCTCACACCATGTACAGTGTGTGGCGATTGCGGCCGGCCACGTACATCTCGTTCCGTGTTTGCGTCAAACCAAGTTGCAATTGTTTGGTACTACAGTAACGTTATACGTATATGTGGACTGCAATTCCATCGATCTTGGGGTGCATGCATCGCCCCAACCTCGAAATACCGCACAACAACTGTCAACATATGGGGCTGTAGCACAAATCCTTCATTGGATCAGTGCTGCATTGTTATGCCCTAAATGTACTGTACTCTGTCATAAAGCAACGAGTGAGTTTTGGTTTTGAGAGACAGAATCAAACCCAGCCCATGGAATCATTAACCATGGCCCAATTCAACAACATAGTTCTTGTATACGGTGTAGTTACGTTTAAGATGCACGGCCATTCATTGCCCAGTGCGTGAAACTCGCCTCGTCTAAAGGAATTATTCACCATGATACGCTATAAATTGTGAGCCCAACAGTAGGACCAAAAGCAGCCCATCTGGGTCAGCACACCAAACAATCTGCTCCGCCAACCCACCAGGTGTAACCAACGGTAGTCACGTATTCGCCTGTCAATTTCATCGTCAGGCAGGCGGCCATTTGAAGTGCTTTCTACACCAACATATCTCCTAAACTCGCATCAGTCATTCTTGAATTCACGTTGCCATGGTCAAAGCTGCCCTAGTCCCTCTTGCCATTGTCGCCTCCGCCGCCCAGGCTTTCGACATCAACATCATCAACGGCACCGAAGCCCCCATTGGCAAGTTTTTGTACACAACGGGTTTCCGCAACAAGGACATCAGCGCCAACTACTGCGTGGGGGCGCTGATCGCCCCCAAATACGTTTTGACCGGTGCCACGTGCGTCGACACGTTGTTCACGTACTCGTCTGTGGGGTCACACTATTTGTCGGGGGACAAGGACGGCGAGCGCATCAAGATCGTCAAGCAGACCAAGCACCCCCTGTTCAACCCCAAGACGTACGAGTTTGATTTTGCCATCTTTGAACTGGAAACCGCCAGCAAAATCGCGCCGGTGAAAGTGAACTTTGACCCGGTGGTCACCCCCGGCTCCTGGTCGACTGTGCGTGGGTGGGGCACGTACTCCGCCGCGGGAACTCTGTCGCCGGTGCTGCTCGAAGCTGACGTCAAGGTCTGGGACAACGTGGAATGCGCCAAGGCCGTCAAGCCATACGGACCCCTCGCCGACTCGCACATTTGTGCCGGCGGCGCTGACAAGGACTGGTGCGGCGGCGACAACGGTGCCCCGCTGATCGTCAACAAGGCTGGCGAGGACTACGTCGTGGGGCTGGCGAGCTGGGGCGGCCCTTGTGCCACCAAGAACGTGCCCGGGATCTACTCGCGCACGTCCAGCGGCCGCGACTTTATCGAGCCCTACTTGCCCACCAACCCCGTGCCCACCACCACCAAGCCGTCGTGCTAAACGAGAACACGTGACATCCAACCGTGCCGTGCAATACTATGTGTGACAGAGTAATGAAATGTCATTTCGTGCAATGCTTCGTGTTTTGTTGATGATGTATGGCTTTTTCGCCTCATCGAATGGATGGCGGTACATACATCTCGCCACTCGTCTTTGTGATAGTTTGTCAACGAAAAACGACCTAACGTTATATGGTGAGTGCGAATACGTGTGTTAGTTAACCACAACCTTCTCGCCCTATATACTGTAGTACTGTATGCCAATACCCGTGAGCCGACGGTGTCTATAGTTTGCTCCCACACCAAACGACTAACGTTACTGTAGCACAGTGGTGCACTGTGTGTGTGCTTCGTCTCGTGGAAGTCGAAGTATTTGTTCACATTTGGAAAATGTAGTACTGTATTTAAGGTAACTATTAATAATAGTACAGTAAGTTCCAGTAATATATTAATACTTCGAAGTAGAATACTATTAATATTCAGGTACTACTATTAGTTACTAGGTAGTAACTAATAGTAGTACTAGTATTCAACAACGCATCAGTACTTTGTGCACAAGAGGTCAGGATGAGGAGTACAGGTTTTCATCACAACAAAATGTGTCACTGTCACAACGCATTTCGTCGTTCTCACAAGAAAGTCCGCGTGGAATATAACCGATCATGTGGTAAAGTGTTTTCAAGTTATAATGTTTGCGGAGGTACTGTATCCCAATTTCAGTCATGTCCTGGGAAGTTGATGGTGTCAAATGTCAAACAATTGTCGGTGAGTTTGTTGACGATGGCAATACAGTAGCTGGTCATATCATATAGGGTAGCGGCATAGTCCTGCTGCATTCAACAGCACCCGCGAATGAGTACAACGACTCAGGCACAATGTGTTGCAATTGAAAGCCTGGTGGCCACGATTCAATCGTGCACAGTGTGCTTCAAGCCACCAGTCGCCCTCGGCGAAACTTTATCGGCTTGTGGCGTAGGCCGAAATTAATCGTACGCCACAGGCCGACGCAGCTCCAAATCAATGTGATCGTTCAGGGCTTATTGCGCTGTTTTGGCACGAAATCTGGTGTAGCGTAGCTATATCCTACGTAGTAGATAGAATGCATTATGTTTTACAACATCAGCTGAAGGCTGCGAGGGTAGGAGCCCTTCTCTGCAAGTGGATTCAACAACGAAGCCTTTGTAACTTATGATTGGCAATAAATAAATTTATGTAACCAATCAGAGGGCATTGTACTTGGACACTCGACAAGGCTGAAGCACGATGGTGGGCTCGCTGCCTCTCCATGCCTGACTGCTGCAGTTCCCTTGCATTGGGTATACCCTTGTCGAGATCAATCTTAGCTATGATGGCAGCAGTTGCTATGTACCGGTCATTGTGCTCATTTGTGATGGCAGCGTCACACACAGCACTTTAGTAATCCGCCATGAACATGAGCTTAGGCCAATGTGGTTGTACTGTACAGTAGTGGAGAATAGAAACCTGAACCTTGCATGAATTTGAGTTCACAATGCGTCATGCAATATTTGATTATGTGTTTACGTCTGTGCGCTGTACCTTGAGTGAATGGGCTCAACGACAGGATATGCAGTAGGCGCTACCAGTAAAAGTTTGGACTTAACTGTGAGTC